GAATTTCTAGAGAGGTGAGAAAACTGGGACATAGGGGAGAGAAAGGACTTTTGGATACAAGGGTAGAATGTGGAGTGGGAGGGTAAGGGGAGGAGATAAAGTAACAGAAATAGGGTGAAAAGAGAAGCTGAGAAGGAAAACAGTGAGTAAAAATAAGATGGAGGGAAATTCACAAATAGCTATTGTGGCTTTCAGCGTGGGTGGGATGAGCTCACTGAACAGACGCAGATGGCAGACAGCAGAATGAACTGAGGGTCAGAGTCCAGGAGTTTGCAGTGGGCACATGTGGGAATGTGAGGTAGACACAGAGTTAAGGTGGAGGGTTGGAGTGGAGTTTGTTGTGCTTCAGCTGGTGCAGAGGGGGCAGGAATGGCTATTATTATCTCAGACAAAGTTATGGCTAAAATAGATTAACTGACAGGGATAAACAGGGTAACTACATTTTGATGGAGTTCATTGACAATGCAGCACATATAAATATATAATATTCAAATACATAAGAATACACTTCATTTCCCAATTGATAAATGGTCAAAGAATATGAAGTTTTCCAATTAAGAAAACAAAACAATTTATTGTCATAATGATTAGGAAAAAAGGAAAAGAACCTATATGTTCTAGAATATTTATAGCAGCTCTCTTTATGTTGGCAAAGAACTGGAAATTGCAGGGATGCCTATCGATTGGGGAATGGCAGAACAAGTTGTGGTATGTGATTGTGATGGAATACTACTGTGCTATAGGAAATGATGAGCTCAATGATTTTAGAAAAACATGGAAAGACTTGCACAAAATAACGAAGAGTGAAATGAGCAGAACCAAGAGAACAGTGTATACAGTAACAGCCAAGAAAGTTGATTCATTGAGGACCCCTACTCTATTCCAATCCATTATCAATCAAACAATCTGATATGATTCTATAGGGGTAATGATTATAAGTTCTGTATATCTGGCCCTAGAGCTATAAGTTGCAGATCATAAGTTTACTTGCTTAATCATAGGAAGGCCACCCTTGTTTTCCCTTGGCATAGTGACCAAACAAATTTAGCAAAGTTGCAGGATACAAAATAAACCCACATAAATCATCAGCATTTCTATATGTTACCAACAAAGTCCAGCAGCAAGAAATAGAAAGAGAAGTTCCATTTAAAATAACTGAAGACAATACAAAATACTTGGAAGTCTACACACCAAGACAAACCCAAGAACTATATGAACACAATTACAAAACACTTTTCACACAAATAAAGTCAGATCTAAACAATTGAAAAAATATCAATTGCTCATGGGTAGGCTAAGCCAACATTGTCCAAAAAGGACAATTCTACCTAAATTAATCTACTTATTCAATGCCATACCAAACAAACTCAAAATCAAAAAAGTATTTTATAGAGTTAGAAAAAATAACAATAAAATTCGTCTGGAAGAACAAAAGGTCAAGAATAACAAGGGAATCAATGGAAAAAAATGTGAAAGAAGGTGGCCCAGATTTCAAACTGTATTATAAAGCAGCAATTATCAAAACAGTATGGTAACTGACTAAGAAAGAATGGTAGATTGGTAGAATAGATTAGGTGCACAATACATTGTTGTAAATGACCATAGTAATCTAGTGTTTGATAAACCCAAAGATCCAAGCTTTTGGGGTAAAAACCCATTATTTGACAAAAACTGCTGGGAAAACTGGAAAACAGTATGGCAGAAACTAGGTATAGACTAACATCTCACACTATATATCAAGGTAAGGTCAAAATGGGTGTATGATTTACACATAAAAGATGATACCCATAAGCAAATTAGGAAAGCATCGAATAGTTTACCTATCAGATCTATGGATAAGAGAAGAATTGAAGACCAAAGGAGATATACAAAGCATTACAAAATGTAAAATGGATAATCTGCTTACATAAAATTTAAGTTTTTGCACTAACAAAAGTAATGCAACCAAAATTAGAAAGAAAGCAGAAAACTGAAAAAAAAAAACATTTTTATAGCAAATATCTCTGATAAAGACCTCATTTCTCAAATATATAGAGAACTGAGTCAAATTTATAGGATGAGGAATCATTCCCCAGTTGATAAATGTTCAAAGGATATGAACAGGCAGTTTCCATACAAAGAAATCAAAACTATGTATAATCATATGAAAAAATGCTCAAAATCACTATCAATTAAAGAAATATAAATTAAAACAACTCTGAGATACCACCTCACAACTATCAGATTGATAATGACAAAATGACAACTATGTTGTGATGACAAATATGACCAAAAGAGGAAAAAGATAAATGCTGGAGGTGATGGGGTTGGAATCTGAGCCCCAGAGATAGCTTTGAGGTCGAGTGTCAAGGGAAACCACTTTGAAAGGGAAATAGTTGAAAAATGAGTGAAAGGGGAAATGGCCCCAGACCATTTCCCACTCTTGGTAATTCTATTACCTCATGTACTCTGTACTTTCCCACATGACCAAATCTCTGGTAGCTATAGTCCCATCAACTGGTCTTTCCTTGTGGCTACACCCAATCTCCCCTCCATTGTCTTGCCTCCCTATGGCCCCAGGCCATTTTCCACCCTTGGTCCCACCTAGGCTCCATTTCCCACCCTTGGTAATTCTATTACCTCATGGACTACTTGGCCACTCCTAGCTAGATCCCTCCTCAGTCTTTCTGTATATCAGGTCCATCTTGTCTCTATTAAGATGCTCAGATTCTTAAAATCTAGCCACTGCTTACCCATGTTCAGACTCCTTAAGAGTCTGCCCAATATGATGGATGTTCTAATAAACCTGGTCTTTGGCTGAAAGAAGGCTTGGGTTGAATTCTTTTGGGCAGGACCCGCATGTTGTGATTTTGGGGTCCCAGCACCCCTGAACCCCTAAACCACATCATTTTGGTGGCCCATACAGGGAAACTGCCTAACCCCAAGTTCTTCTCCAGCCAAGACTGGAAGTTATGTAAGCCTCCCTCCCCTCCTTTCTTGCTCTGCAGTTTGGGTTGCTCTCCAAGCACCAAGGCTTGGAGGAGCTTTTGTGGCAGACAGTTATGAGGCTGTCCAGCACTGGGCCTGACGCTCTCAGGCTCTTGGTCCTCTGGGTTGGTTCAAGTCCATGGATCTGGGTATGACTTCTACAGCATAAAGGACAAGGATGGAAGCCCTATCCGGAAGTATATCTGTTAATTCCCTCGTACTAGGAAATTGGGAAAAACTGCAGTTGCTTTTTGGTTCCCTGAGGTTTACTTACTCCCTTCCCTCTGCACCTCTGAATCTTCCTTCATGGAGGTTAGAGGGAAAGTACAGAGTCAATGAGGTAATAGAATTACCAAGGGTGGGAAATGGTCTGGGGCCAGAGTTTTTCCTTTCTGGGGCTCAGATTCCAACCTCATCAGAGGGGATGTGGGAAAACTGGGACCCCAATGTAGTTGTGAACTGCCAGCCATTTGGGAGAGTAATTTGGAACTATACCCAAAGGGCTATAAAACTGTGCACACCTTTTGATCCAACCATGCCACTGCTACCTCTATATCCCAAAGATATTAAAAAAAAAAGAGGGAAAGGAACCTATTTGAACAAAAAAGGAGCAGCTCTTTTTGTGGTGGCTATGGTGGGACGTTAATAATGGACTCCTAAAAGCCATGGACCCTGCCCTTCCCAGTTAATAATCCTCTCAACTGTCTTGGCATTTTGGCTTTGACCCTGACCCAATCTCCAATTCTCTGTTACCTCTAACCTAGCTCAGCCCTTCGTTGTCATTACAGAGCAGATCACCCCCAGCCATTTCCCACCCTTAATTCCATCTACACCCCTTTCCTGTTACCTCCCAATCACCCCAAAACTATAGGTCACTCCTTAATCACATCCACATCTTCCCACAGTCTTTCTGTTCATAAGGTTTATGTTGCTCCCAATTAAATTGCTCTGATTCCTAAAATCTGGACAATGGCTTTGATTCCAAAAATCTGGCCAATAGCAGGGATTCTTAAAATCTTGCCCACCTCAACCAGTGTATTAATAAACCCTGTCTCTGACTGAAAGAAGGGTCAAGTGGAATTCTTTCCAGGCAAGACTTGTGTCTTTTGCCCCGGAATTGCGGGGTTCCTAGCATCCCTAGACCACAACAGCTAAGAATTGGAAATTAAGGGGACACCCATTAATTGGGGAATGGCTGAACAAGCTGTGGTATGAGATTGTGATAGAACACTACTGTGTTAAAAGAAATGATTAGCTGGATGATTTCATAAAAACCTACAAAGACCTACATGAACTGATACATAGTGAAGTGAGCTGAACTGGAAAAAGAAATTGTACACAGTAAAAACGATATTTTACAATGAAGAACTGTGAATGACTTGGCTATTCTCAACAAAACAATGATCTAAGACAGGGGCGGGGAACCTGCGGCCTCCAGGCCACATGTGGTCCTCTCAGTCCTCAAGTGCTGCCCTTTGACTGAATCCACACTTCACAGAACAATTTGGATTTGCTCTGTAAAACTTGTACTGGTCAAAAAGCTGCATCCAGGGTCACTAGAAACTGGCGCATTTTGTAATTCCAAATCTCAATTACTTAGGCAATGAGGAACGTGTTGCCAATTCCGGCTGAAGCATCAGCGCAGGAATTGACCCGGAAGTAAAAAGGCTCCTGCCTAATTTGGCGTCTGTTTCGTGGGCCTAATTCCCTACTATCATTAAAACCGAGTTCCTGTGACTGAGAGCAGCACTCACTCATTTGGCCAGGAATACCTTTCTTCAGGCTCGGGTTAAGTGAGGCTAGGCGCAAGGAGCAGAAGCTGGACATGGAAAAACATCCAAGTCCGCCTGGCATCTCAAAGCACTGTTAAAAGCTAACCGGAAAACCCAGGGAGAGTAATTATGGTACGAGAACGGGTGAGATGCGTTATTCTGCGGGGCTGACAGGTAACCATTCTTGGCGAACAAAGTGAAGCAGCGGCAGTAACGGCGGCGGCGGCGGCGGCGGCGGCGGGAGGGAGGGGTCACCGTTACCTGAGCTTTGTCTGCGCAGCCGTCAGCAGGAGCCACACGAAGAGCCAAACCCCAGGAGACAAGAGCCGCGACCTGGCTTAAGAGCCCTCATTTCCCTTCCGCATTGGCTCCCCAAAAGCTGAAACTTTACCACTGTGCTGGCTAGCCCTGCCCTCGGAAGGGAGGTGCCTGGAACCACAGCAATTGGCAAACATCTCCCGATCTTGTAAAACTCCTTCCTTTGAGGCAGTCTAGGCATGCGCGCAGAGAGGACGGTAGAAGCGGAAGGTCAGCGCTTCCCTGTGGGTCTGTCCGGGGCGGGTCTGCCTGCTGTGCAGACTGCTGCGCTCCTCGTCTGCCGAGGGTGTAGGGCGAAGAGCGGGGCAAGGGAGCGAGGCGGTCCGGAGACCCTTCTGGAGGGGTAGGGAGTTCGCTTAAGCCCGAGAGTAAGGAAGAAGAGCATCGACAACCTTGAGCGCCTTGGAGAGAAGGATTTAGAAACAAGGGGGAGTTGGAAGTTAGACCCTGATTATAAGGCGAAGGGGGCGTGCAGATACAGCTTTACAGATTTATAGCTGTTTGGTAGGCCTAACTAGTAGTAGTTCCAGCCAGAGGTTAGATCACATTGGGTATGTGATAAACTAACACATTTATGTAGAGCTGTTAGGTTAACAAACTTCTCTCCCAAACACAACTTGGTGAGATCTTTAGTGCAAATGTTATCCTTCCTTTTACACACTAGGAAACTGAGGCTCAGAGGTGTTCAGGTAAATTCCCCATGGTTATGTGACTGGTAACTGTGGAAGCCAGGACTCAAACTCTGATCTTCTGATTCAAGCCCAGAGTTTTTTGTTTTGTTTTGTTTTGTTTTAAATATTATGGTTGCCCATTTGAATCTACCATGTCAATCTCTAGTTCTCATCAACTATTCTACATCCCTTTTCTTCTTTTGCTAACCCCAAGTGTACCTTTAGTGCCCAGTGAAGATCCTTTTGTCTCCTGTTTAATATTGTACTAATATATTTTTCATGGTTCTTGAGCTCCAGTGATACCTACCCCCTTTGGATTCCTTTACTTTAGATTTTATTTTATTATTTTTACCATTAATAATCATTTATTTTCTCCACCACCCATCTGTCAAACAATAAAGTAAATAAAAACAAAACCCTCATAAAAATGTGGATAATCAAGTGAAACAAATTCTAAAATTGGCCATGTATAAAAATGTATGTCTCATTCTAAGTTTTAAATCTATCACCTCTCTAACAAGAAGTGATTAGCATACAAAAGTACCAGCTTTGGTCTTTTGAAATTGTGATTTGCTTTGGACCCCTTTAGCACTCTGTACCATTCTTACTGTACTTAACTGCATTTAAGAGTAATATCTTCACTACTAGACTAAGTTTCTCAAGGACAGAGACCATGTCCTGTGCAACAATTGTGTCTTTTGTAGTATGTTGCACAGATGTTAAATATTTGATGAATGAATGCTCAAATTTGTATACCTCCTTTCATTCATAGGCAGTTTGTAGAAAGAACTGCATTCTTTGGTATCTAGTGTTTGATTCAAGCCATAGATGTAAACATCTAGTACCATTATTCATTTGTTATAATTTCCCCCTTTTAGCAGATACTTTGCTGATAAAATGCAAGGAGAAACAAATAACTTCACAAGAAAATTGCTACAGATATTGTCATATGAATATAAGGGCTCCAAGAACTTTCATCTGAATAATTATTTCCCCAACAATATAGTCCTTTGAAAGCTTGGTAAGAACATTTAAAGTAAGAACAATGCTGGAGCACTTTTTCTTTTATATTCAGAAAACAAAATACCTTCTTCAGTTACTCTTATCAAACTTTCAAGGGTACTCTACTACTGCTACAAAACACATCAGTAAGCCAGAGAAATTATTCCCCCAAAATTTTCCTTTTTAAATTAAAGGAGGATATTTATTTGAGGAAGGAAAATATACAGGTAAATATAAGGAACTTGGTCTATTATTTTTAGAGATGTAATGTTCTGACAAATATCAGAACAATTATACATGTAGAACTTACAGATTTTTGTTTTTAATCTCTTTGATTAGCTTCATTAAGTAAATAGATTAGTGTAAAAATAAACATTTGGTTATAATGGAAATGTAGCCTATTTTTTTCTGTCGCAACAAGTCCTCTTGTATCCTTCCAGAGCAGGGTCAGGTACGTATTGTTAAAAGGAAAATTCTTTGTTTTGGCTTTTGCTCTGATTAATGAGGCAAAATAGAAAAAAGAGAAGTAAAAGGAGTTTATTTAAAAATACATCAAGGTAGCAACATGTTGATAGTCTGATCACTAGAAATCAGCAAGGAACTCAAGATGGAGTCAGCTTTTATTGATAACTTTTTAGTGAGAGAAAAACAATTCAGGTAGGTCCACATCTGCAAAAGGGGATGGGCCACTGCATCTCAGCTCCTCCCCAATTGCCTGTAGGGAGTGACCTGGTATTTGAGGGTTAGCAGGTAATACAAAACCTGCAGACTGGGTTAAGCCTCCCTCTGCACAGCCTCCCTCAACACTGATTGATAAGCAGGATTGGGAACAGTGGGGTCACTGTTCTCTTGTGCCATAGGCTTCTAGGGGTACCTCTAAGGAACTGGGATATTCCTTCTCAAATGCTCAAAGCGCTATTCCAGGATATCCTCCCCCCCCCCCC